GGTTTCTTTGCTCACTGCCACTTCTTTTATCTCACACATTCCTCTTAAATTCATTTTTCATTTTGCTGAAGTCCATCTTCTAGTCTTTTTTGTTTGTTTGTTTTTCAGGAAAAAAAATTGGGAGTAGTAAATTTTTTTATTTTTTGTACTTTTTTTCCTTTTCACTTGATAGTTTTTATGGTAAGAATACTATGGTGCATAATCATACCCCTGAGAATTTTGAAGATATTGGTTCTTTATCTTCTTTCTTTCAACTCCACCAACGAGAAGTCTAATTTCTCTCAAAATCTCTTATTTTTATGGACCATCTGCTTTTACTTGTTTCTGATGCTCTCAAATTTTACTTTGGTTCTGCTGTATATAGATAGTTTTGCATATGTCTCACTACATCCTTCCTTTTAAGCTGTTGTTTAGTCCCTTTCAGCAATTCTGCTCACTTTTATTCTCTCTCTCTTTTGATATGTCTTTGTTTTTGCTCTATTTGCTCATTCTTCCCAGAACACCTAACAAATGAGCACTAGGACTTCTGGGATCTTTCCAAGCCACTGAACTTCTATTTCACATATTCACTTACTGTCTTTCTGAAACTAGCTTCATGAAAGAGAAAATAGATTTCACATATCCAGACAACCAAATGGCATGATCCACTGTGTGAGTGTATCAGGACATTGTGCATCAGGAACTGATTTTTCCTGACCGTCCTCCTGTGCAGCCTAAGCCCACACACAGTGATTGCTTTGCCCTTTCTTCATTTTGTCCGGGTCTTTTATACTCCTGGGTATTGGTATCGCCAGAGCCAGTGAAAGTCATTCAGTCGTGTCTGATTCTTTGTGACTCCTTGGACTATACAGTCCATGGAATTCTCCAGGCCAGAATACTGGAGTGGGTAGCCTTTCCCTTCTCCGGGGTATCTTCCCAACCCAGGGATCGAAGCAGGTCTCCTGTAATTGCAGGTGGACTCTTTACCAGCTGAGGCACAAGAGAAGCAGGTATTGGCACAGCAGGTTCCAAAATGGTCTGCCCTCCTCCCTGACTCATAAACTCCTCACGTCCAGGCCTGAGTGACTTCACTGCACTCTGCACACACAGCTTGGGAGAGACCTATTTGTCATCCATTGATAACATCCATGTGAAAAGTCATATTCTTGAAGGATGCTTAATTTATCTGACAAGCCCTGGGATTATGACAAATAACTCAGAAGAGAACCGGTTGGAGGATGGGCCCTGAGCACAGGCTGGACCTGGCCCTTCTAGGGTTCATATCACAGGTACCAGCCCCTCGGCTTGCATCTTCAGCTCAGCTCAGCTTCCCTCTGTCTAAACAACCGCTCTGCACACTCCACCTCACTGTTAAAGAGCCTTACAGCTCTTTAACAGGCCAGGGTCCTCTGCCTATGGGCTTATTCTGGCAAGAATACTGGAGTGGGTTGCCATTTCTTCCTCCAGGGGATTTTCCTGACCCAGGTGTCGAATCTGTGTCTCCTGTAACTCCTGCATTGGCAGGAGAATTTTTTAACCACTGAGGCATCTGGGAAGCCCATAGAGATGGACACATATTTGCAATTTGTTCATCTTGCTAGATAACTCTCTCCCATCTTACCTTCTCCTCCAGGTACTGAGTCACAGAGGCAGCAAACCACAGCTATGCCTTTAGATCCTGCCTGGTTGCTGAGATCTGCAGCTCACTCCACCCACAAGTATTTGAGTATCATCTGTCGCTTCTCCTTTGGGCAGGATGTTCTGCCTGTTGAGATGGGCTGTCTGGGGTCTGCATGTGTTCTGGGGGACTCAGAGCCTACTGGGATGGGAGAGGGTTTATCCTAGTCCTTGGCCTCTTGTAGTATCCTCCCAAACCACAGTGTAGGACAGGAGAGATGGCTCTCACTCAGGACATTGCACCTACAGACACAATGACTTAGTGTGGTTGCTTCAAAAACATATCCAAGAGTTTCTGCTCATTGGCACCTCTATCCCCAGGAGCTGCTCCCATCAAGACAGGCTGTCAAAGACGGCTTTCAGTATGACTGCTATAGAAGGAAGTCACTGAGCTTGGAATTGGGGTATAAGCCAAGGAAACCAATTGCCTAGAACCCCCCAGCCCATTCTGCTTCCCTCAGCATGTCTGCCATTAGAAGATAAGGAGAAAGCACCAGTCTTCAGCATACTTCTCTGTGTTCTTCACATAGGAGACTCTGGGTGGGACTCAAACAAAACTGGAGGCTGGGAGTGGACCTGGGAAAATGTCATGATGTGGGGTGAGGGAAAGGACCCGACATTCTATTGAGTTTATAGATATTACAATGATTACTGAGACTCCAAAAGCATTCACCTTCAGTTCCCAACCAGCTGTCTTAATTAAAATGCTGCTAAAAGAAGCAAATCAATTATCAGATACCTTACAAGATGGTTTATTCTATCTAACACACAGAAAATTGCTTATGAGTATCGCATTACCGCTTTAGGTTATCAGTTAACCAAGACTGCTAATGAACTACATTGTTATCAAGTCAGATAAAAGATGCCAGGGGAGTTCAGGCAAATTATTACAACACAGCACTTTGTTTTGAAATATAACTCATCTTTTACCACACACAAGGTGAGTAACCTAATCTAAGGAGAACCAGTCCATGTAGCCTGCTGGATTTCTATTGAATGAAAAGGCAAAGAGTATTCCTTAATGCAGCCCAGAAACCCAGGGTTAATATTAAGGGGAGAGATGTGAATGGGGCCTGCGTCATGCAGCCTTGGGTTTATGTCTCTTCTGGTTATGTCCTCCATAAGGTAGGGACATTGTCATAGTCACCACAAAATAATCCTATAAGCATAACAATAATCACTTTCTTTGGTATAGCTCACTACAAGCCGTGGCAGCTGCTTTCTCTTTTCATCCTTTCTGGGTACCGCCATTTGAAAGCTGCAGAGCTGTGGGGCCATTCTACAGCTGTTAGACCCCTTTCTCCCACTCCATCCCAGGCTGCATTTCTTCTTTTGGAAGGTCTCTCAGTCATTTATAGAAATGGAGACTGCCCAAAGATTTTCACGTTTCAGTTCCCTTGAATGTTGACAGATGAATTCTTCTGACAGCTAAGAAGTTGAGGTCAACAGTTCTAGACAAGTCTATTCACCTCTTGGTAGACTGTAGTACTAAAGAAGCTGTGTCTTGAGTCTGGTTCTCATTCCATGAGCCACTTGTTACTGATAGGATCCACAGACACAATGTCATCATGAAGCATGAACAACTCTGACACTGGAAACCAGGATAGGCAGTGAGCATGTATTGACTTCCAAACTTTCTTACTGCTGGAAAGAGTACTCTTATATCCCTTTATGCAGTCAGCTTTTTGCAGAAGAGAAACACTATTTTCTTTCAGGACAGAGGCACTGTAGACTCTATAAGTTTATTTGCTCCGTATTTTGAGTTCCATGTAAAGGTCCATCACCAGTTTTGGATGCTCAAATTCAAGCTGTCTCCAATGAGTAGCTGTCCAAAGTGCCCTCCTGAAGATGCTGCTCACTCAGAGCTCAATCACTTGTGCATTTCTGGAAATAAAAAGAGCCATCTGGAAGATTCATTAATACCCAGACCTGAGCTAGGTGCCAAAAGAAAGAGAAAGAGAATTTTGGAGACTCTAGGATTATAGTGGCTGCCTAAATCCAATTTTCCACCACATCCTCCAAAACCATACAGATCAACAAGGAGAGAAGCAAAAAACTAAAGTAGTAACAAGGGTGCCTATATGTCCTCGTTCTCCTGGGACCATCCCAGAGAATGTCTCCTGAGGATAAGTTAATGCCTGCTAATGCTGAAAAGTCTTTTAACAAAATTCCACACAAATTCCTGAAGAAAAAAAAAAAAAAGACTCAATAAAATAGGAACTGGTGGGTTTCCTTAAGGTGATAAAACTTGTGTACTTTAGCCCTAAATCTAACAGCTTACTTAATGAAAACCACTAGAGAATTTCCCACAAAGGTCAGGCAAAAGACAAATCTACTCACTGTTTCCACTATTATTTAACACTGGTGATTTTAGCCAATGCAATCAGAGAGGAGAAAACAATTAGAGGCTTATTGGAAGAGAAGATCTACAATTTGGCAGAAGACATAATATGATGAAAACTCAAGGAGATCAAGAATAAAATAAACAAAACAATAAAAGCATTCAATATGTTAGCTGCTATCATGTTAATACCCCAAATCAATGACCAAGTAGGAGACATGATGGGAAATTCCATTTACTAAAGCAACTAAAACATGAAATATTTAGAAGTAAACTTAATAAGAAATGTGAAAAATCCATGAGTAAAATCTGAAAACTCTCCTGAGACACACAAAAGCAGACTTGTAAAAAGTATATATTTGTGTCAGTGAAGGATAATATCCTCAAAAAGTCAATCGTCTTCAATTTAATATGTAAACATAATGCAGCTCCAATAAAAATAGCAAGATGTTTGTTTCTGTAGCTAGATTCTGAAGTTGATTGTAAAGTTTATATGGGAAACAAATACACAGGAATAGCTAGAATGGAATAGCAAGTGTGTGGGAACCAGCCACTCTGGGTAATACATTAAGTCACCACAAGAAAGAGTGTGATAATAGCACATGAATAATCACAAATACCATTGGAGAATAATATGAAGTCTAGAAATAGTCCAACTATATGTGAAAATTTTGAACATGATAAAGGTGACAAATAAAACACTGGGGAAAATACAGTGATTTTGAAAAATGATATTAAGATAACTAGATTGCCATTTGGAAAAAGATAAAATTTGATCTATATCTCATACCATGCACCATACCAAATGAATCAGAGATCCAAATAAAAATAAACCCATACAAGAACCAGAATAATATATATGCATATATAAACATTTATCTACTTTTATAAAAATTGTATATATGCAAATCTTTTAATTAAACATTTTTGTAAAAGGAACACAAGGAAGATAAAACAGAAACTGTTGAGATTAATTACCTCAGAGCAGTGGGTGGGAGCAGGGTGGGGTGGACAGGAGAGCAGAACATCTCTAAGTTTACCTATTTACACATTTCTAGTTTAAAACTGTATCTGTGTTTCACATACTCAAAAAATAAAATTAAACTACAAAGGTTAAGAAATGAACCAAAGACCAGCATATACACTGAAACAAATATCTCTAACTATATATATAATTGATAGCATAACCACACTGAGAAAATAATTAGTTCAACTTGAACACAATACTCTGTGCATATGAAGGGCTAAATGCTAAGAACAAAGAACAGCAAAGAAATTTTTAAGTGAGTTTGTAGTTGTACAGTATTGTAATTCTTGAAGTATATATTTTATGTGTATTATAGGATAGAGCAAATGGATTAAAATATTTATATGGTTTTGAAACAGGGCTTTCACTTTAGAGGAGGCAAAATAGAAATATGGAATGAGGAAATCTTAAGAAGAATGTTATGATGCTGAGTTTTTGATGTATATTGGTAAATACGCATGTGTTGACTGTCCATTGAAAAGGTCTCCAAGTGATGATGCCTCAGTAGCCATAAGCACCCAATGTGCACAGATCTTGGTTTCTAAAAACTGCTCAATGTTAAAGAAAAGAAGGAGGTTGGAGGAGGGGGTAGGAAAACATGGATCTAGGGGAAATGAGTGATTCCAAATCTGAGCAGGAGCAGTGTAAGGTGAGCCTGGAACATTGTGTCGTTTCAGAAGTCCATGAAATTCTTAGCGACTACTGGAATCCAGTCTAAAGCCACCATGAATTGATTTGTATTGATAACTTGGGACAACTTAAAACATCAAAAAGATTCATGGTGGTGATGAATTATAATGCATTGAAGTCCTTAGGAATAATATTCCACAAATAAGAGAGGAATGCCAGCTATTAAACATAGAAGGAATGCTGGAATTAGAAACTCGGTACTTTGTAGCCCTCAATGCAATAACTATTCAAACATGGGTCACAAACAGATGTAAAACCATTGGGTGAAGAATTACTTGGGTCAGGGTGTTCCCACGGTCTCAAAGTCCCACCCCTTAGATTATTTACTCATTGCAAACGAGGGATTTTTCTCTCTACCAGGAGAGATCTAGTTGTCACTTCCTTAGCCAAGCAATTAAAAGCAGTGTCACTAACAGTGAGAGAACCTGGAGTCATGTGACTCCTGATGCAGTGCACTGAAAGATATGTACCCAGTATCACCTCTGCAGTAATCATGACAAAATTCTCAATCTGAATCTTCTCAGGAGGAAACAGACAAATCCAGGAAATAGAACATAATGCAAGAAGCTTAAGTACTTCAAAACTGACAATGCCATGGGGAGAGAAAGCAACATCGAGAGAAACTAAAAAGGGACAAAATCAAGTACAGTGGCTCCTGGCTTGGAGAAATAGAACTATAAACCTGGGAAACAGAGAAATTTGAATACAGGCTGTGGAAGAGATGATACTATTGAATTACTACCCATTTCCATTCATTTCTTACCATTCCTGTCATTGTGATTATGCAGGAGATACAAGATGGGTAAATATATCTACACTAGTTTTTAAGTGAATCAGAAAAAATTATGCATGCACAGTTAAAGCAAACAGCGCAAAATATTTTTATTGCACTGTTCTTTCAACATTTCTGTGGCTTTGAAGATTTTTCAAAAAGGACAGTGAGAGCACGTGGGTGGTACATGAGGTGCGGGAAAGCAGGACTAGGGGAAGTGAGTTGTGAACCAACCATTCAGATAAACCTGAAGGAGATGTCTTCCTTCCTGGGAACAGAGCTCCTTTAGCCATAACCTCGGATCCTGTCCCCACTTCTATTCTGAGACTTCACAGCAGCGTCGAAAATCTGACACCTCTGCCAAACTGATGGCTTGATGACACAAAGAAAATTTTGGATTTTTTTTTTTTCCATCAAATGGTTTAAGCTGGCTACAGTTGCCTGGCTTCTGTCAAAGAGAAGGTCTTAGAAAACCAAATCAAATAAGATAAAAATTTAACTGTCTTGCTGCTAAAAATCAGTTTTCTCAGCTCTAATCAGGCAAATGCCCCACAACTTCATTTAAAATCTTGCCAAAGTACTGCCAGATTAGGACTTGCCACAACTGTCCCAAAGAGTTGCTGATCCCTCACCTCACAGCCAGCCTGACACCAGGACCTCTGGCCCCTGCCTAGCGATCCCCCTCCCATCCCGCAGGGGCCCTGCAGGAGAGCCTCCAGCCTGCACAGGATAGGAAAGGTACTGCCTTTCCTCCTTTCAGTATGAGCCGTCCGTCACTCTTACAACTCACCTTTCAGAGAAATTGAGGTTTAACCTGCAAAACAGGAAGACAGGATGTTTAGTAAATCATTCCTAGATGGCCAAAAGCACGGGCAAAATTCTGCTATAGGAGAATGGCTTGCATGTCCGTTGCTTTTCCATTCTCGGGTCTATTGGCTTTCTGACTAAGCCTGACTCCATCTAGTGTCAGTTTTGGAAACTTGAATTGTGTCTTCCTTCTCAATAGAAGAGCTCTGGTGTGATAATGCTGAGAACAGTTCCCTGCACGTGGTGGGGGAAGAGATGCAGGGGAACCCGCGTCCAGCCATTAACTCCCAACCNCTTGAATTGTGTCTTCCTTCTCAATAGAAGAGCTCTGGTGTGATAATGCTGAGAACAGTTCCCTGCACGTGGTGGGGGAAGAGATGCAGGGGAACCCGCGTCCAGCCATTAACTCCCAACCACACACCGCTCCCATCTTTCATCTCTCCCCTGCCTTCCTCTGCCCCTGCCTTCCTCTTGCACCCTTCACACTCCTTCTCCTGTGCTTCACTCTCACAATGGTTATTGTTGGATGACTACGGCAGACACCTCTCCTGGGTGATGGAAATTTCCTCCTACAGCTCCAATGTATCAAAATAATTCAGCACATCCAAATGTACAAAAGGGCTTCCTGGTGGCTCAGTAGTCACGAATCCGCCTGCTAATGCAGGAAATGCAGGTTCAATCCCTGGACTGGGAAAAACTCCTGGAGAAGGAAATGACAATCCACTGGAAAATCCCATGGACAAAGGAGCCTGGCAGGCTATGGTCCATGGGATCACAAAAGAGTCAGACTCAACTGAGCAGCTAAACAACAACAAATATACCAAACAGATGCTCCTCTGACCTGATCATAGGTAGGAACATGAAACCATAGTAACTGTTCATTCAATGCTCTTGAATTGGTTTGTGATGTACTGTCACTGCAGCATCTTTGCACAGCAGCATCTGTGTGTCAGACGTTCATTATGAGTCACCACAGCCTCTCACATTCCCTCCCCCAGCATGCACATACGCATGTACAAAGGCATCAGGATTAAGAATTCGGTATTGTGAAATCTTTCCGTTTTGTGAATCCCATGACTAAGATGTCCCTGAATCAGAGCTTACACCAGTTCTGGGAACTTCCAGGGGGCACTGGAGCTTCCAAAGCACGATGCCTTAACCCAAAGTGTCCCCCGGTGAGTGTGAGCTGTTTGGATGATCAAGACAGCATGGCTCATGGGTGATTGAGAAGATCACTCTGTTAGAACCTCCATCAGCCCACTCAATCATCCTGACACAGGGCCAGAGCTGGCCACTGCAGCCTGCAGCCACACGCCAGGGTGCCTCAGCTACCCAGTAGAGGGCCTCTGAGAGCATGTTGTGAGCAGAGTCTGCCATCACAGGCACAGCTCATCCAGCCAAAACTGACCCCATCCTACCCTTCCCACCACAGAGACAAGCTGGGCCCCAAAGGCAATGCAGATTCTGGGTCTGGGGCTCATCTACACATTCCCAGGTCCCCTCACCCCCACCATCAAGAGCTTTAGGTCCTCAGAAATTATTGACAGACACCATAACATCTGAAGGAGGGCAGAACCTCAAGAGAGTGAAAGTATTGAGAAAATCCATTTCCAGCTCATCCCCAGGGAATCCCCCTGACTGCAGCGTACCATACATCCATCTCTCCTTCATCCATAGATTCACACATTTCTTCAAGAGATGCTACTTTGTACTTACCAAGCCCCAGGTCCCAGGGAAGAACTGGAGGAGAGGACTGTGCTTTGCAACCTTCTAAACGCCCACCAGCCCATCTCAACTCAGATTCTGTCACTCACTGAACATTTCCTTCATGAGGAAGTCTCCAGAAGCCTCAGACTTACCATATTCAAAAAAGGTAGTCACCAACATATCCCACCCCCACCCAGCCCACTGTCCACCCCTGCTGTACTGCCTGCTTCCCAAAGGGCACCTCCAGCTAGGACCTCCCCACTCCAACAAATGCTACTGGTTCTTGATTCTGGCCTGTACCTTCACCCAGCTCCAAGAGACTGGCTGCCTCCTTGGTATCACTCAAATCCTCATTCCAGAGGGCTTTGCAGAAGCTTGTTGCTATCTGAGTGATGAGCATTCCATATGATACAAAACAGCAAGTGCAAAGATCCTGAGTTGGGATTGTCTTTGGAGAACAAGGGCTCTATACAGAAGAGTAATGTGGCTGGGTGGCAGCAGGGAAGCTGGACACAGAACACACGTAGTTTCCCAACTGGAGCTGAGGACATGAGCATGAGAGTAGGTGATGCACTGGGAGGACTCTGAGCAGGAGATAAGGCAAAAATCTAACCCAACAAGTGCAGAAAAGAGCCCAGGTTTACTTTGACTACTTAATTCCCTGCGGGCTCCCCACTCTCATGACACTTGAGGACTGCCCAAAGGAGGGGAGAGTGAGAGGAGGGAGGCCAGGGCTGCATCCTGGTCCCCTAGGAAGCATTTCAAAGTGGGAAGAGAGGCAAGGATGTCAGGTAGGGGAGAGGGATGGATGAAACAGGAGGGAAAATGAGAAAGACACAAGTTGGTAGTGACCTTACCTTGAAGCTCTCTTCTTTAGTGCAATGGTCTCTAAACAGAGAAAGCAGGCTGTTAGGAAGGGGGCACTGTGATGCTGGTGCACCTCTCTCGGTGCCAGGCCAGCAGGAGGGGGTCAGAGCCCACCAGACTTGGGCAATGCTGAGAGGTTCCTGGGGTTGGGGCCACTGAGGGGGTGGTCTTGGGCTGAGTGCTCTGCCCCCTCCCCATCAGCAGGGTTGAAGCTCCTCTATCCAGTCCCTCACCGAGCCCCCCAGCTCAGCACCCAGGTGAGACTGAGGCTTCCCTAGAAATAGACCCCCTACCCACACGCCCCCCTCCCCGGGCAGTTGTTCCTCCCCTCCTCTCTCCTTGAGGATCCTGGGCCCCCTCACCCTTCGGAAATCTAGAATGTCTCTTAGCGTGCTGAAGAGGCTATTTTCTCTTTCCTCTTATTCCTAGGGCTACAAAATCAATGGCAAGTCAGGTTGGATGCATGAGACAAGTGCTCGGACCTGGTGCACTGGGAAGACCCAGAGGGATCGGGTGGAGAGGGAGGTGGGAGGGGGGATCGGGATGGGGAATACATGTATATCCATGGCTGATTCATGTCAATGTATGATAAAAACCACTGCAATGTTGTAAAGTAATTAGCTTCCAAGTAATAAAAAATAAAAAAAAATTTTTAAAAAGCAATCAATGTAAAGAGATAAATGAATAAAAATATAAAGAAACAACTTCAAAAAAACTATAATTGGAAACAACAGTACTAGTACTGTAAATGTGTGAAAATTAAGCATGTTTATAGGCAATGTAATAGGCATAAAGTAAACTATTAATATTATGTGACTCCATAAAAAAAAAAAGTCTTATTTTGCTTAACTATCACCCTACAGTGCAAGAGTAGTGATGCTGACAATTGAGATCCATCAATCAAAGAAAAGCCATTAGTGATTCCTGAAAGTGAAAAGGTAAAAGTTCTCAATATGGTAAGAAAAACAATCGTATGCTGAGGGTGTTAAGATTTATGTTAAGGATATATCTTTCATCTGTGAAATTGTGAAGGAAAAAGAAATTCATGCTGGGTTTGCTATCACATCTCGAAGTGCAAAAGTTGTGGCCACAGATGGAAAAGGCATAAAGTAGTAAAATAAAGTATTTTGAGAGGGTAAGACCACACACAAAAAAAGAAAAAAATCAATGGCAAGTGAACTATGACCAATTAAGTTCCCTGTGCAGTTGGATGCACTGGAAGCCCCCAAATGCAGTCTCCTCCTTGCCCTGTCTCCTCTTTTGGGTATCTTCACAGATAACAATCACATTTTCAAAAGACATGGTGAGAGTCCTTCCTCTCTATCCTCTGGAAACTACATTATCATCCCATTAAGCAGTCATATGGGGGATGGATTTTGCAGGTCCCCCCTTGAGAGACAAGGGGTGCAAATCAATGTTGTATTTTGCTACTGAAACTCCCTGAGTGTTCAGCATCTACATAAGGACCTGGATCTCCACAGCTGCCGCAGGGTGTGGAGAACCATGCTGGGTGCTCATAAACCCACCTCTGCTTGGGTCATGAGGAGACAACTCCACTTAGTGCAGGGATTGCCCAATTTATGGGGGGGGAAATGCAACTTGGCCCAGGTCATCAGTGTCGGCCACACCTCCCACCACCCACCCATGCCAGGAGCGGCCTCACCACTTCCTGGGATTGATTTCATCTCATCACATCATTTGGGTAAAAGAAAAGAAATTTCAGTCAGAAGCCAACTCAGCTCCCTTCCCCACGTTTCTCCAAGAAAGTTGATTCTTAAGAATATCAAGAATGACTAAATGGAAAAGTACAGAGAGACAGAAGCAGAGAGAGACAGAGACACAGAGAGGTCACTGCATTTCTTTTCAATCCATGTTTTTTATTCTCTCTACAGCCAGTTTTACCCTCAGAGCTTCACACTGGATAACTGGCCAGAATACGTCTTGTCTCAGGAAAGGGCAGAACCAGGGTTGAGCATCACTGTTTCCTTACCGTTGAAGCCCACGTTTGTGCTTCTCAGGTCAGAGGAATCGTTATCAAACATGTGCTTCCTGATCATGCAGAACTTCAGGGCCAGGAACCCGGCCGATATGGCAATGCCCACAGCAGTCCCGATGATGGCATATTTGATATCTGGAGGGCAGGGAGGAATTAAACAAGGGGCTTTAAGCAGTCATCACCCAGCAAAAGTCTTCCACACCTCCTTTTACATCGGAATGAAGTCCAAAGTCAAATACTTGGACCTTTACATTACATAGTCCAACCTGCTGCATGCATGTGTGTTCAGTTGCTCAGTTGTGTCCAGCTCTTTTACAGCTCCATGGAATGTAGCCCACCAGGCTCCTCTGTCTATGGAATTTCCCAGGCAAGAACACTGGAGTGGGTTACCATTTCCTCCTCCAAGGTATCTTCATGACCCAGGGGTTGAACCCACGTCTCTTACATTGACAGGCAGATTCTTTACCACTGAGCCACCTGAGAAGTCCCAACCCACTGAGGCCAGCCTCATTTTCTAGTCTCCTGGGAGCATGCTCCTTCCCTACCCCTCCACCCACACTGCATCTCCTCTTCCTGGAACTCCAACCCTGGTCCCTTCAGCTGTGGGGATCATTCCCAAGTGGCTTGTGGCTCCTTTCTCTGTCTTTTTGCAGTCATCCTCACTTATCCTTGCATCAGTTCACCTATGTGTATGCCGATTGCCTGCTCTGGCGAGTGCTGATGACAATTGAATGAGTCCCTGACTCCATCCTAAGGGGCCTGCAGTCAGCAGTGGAAGACAAGAGCTCACTCGAATGCCGAGTGACAAGGTGGGCTGATGTGGAAACTGACAGTCTTCCCAGAGGAGATGACATGGAAGGTGTACCATACCTGGAGAGCTGAACTCTGAGGTGGAGAGAGGCTGGGATGGTGCAAGTGGAGGGAGGCACTGGCCAGGGCAGAGCCTGCTATCTGGGGGCTCACGGCTGCAGTGCAGGGCTGTTCATCTTACAGAGAGTGAGCAGAGGTGGCCCTGATGACTCATGTCCGCTTTGAGGACAGGCTGTCGTTCAGTCCCATGCCCCCAGGATAAGGCCATGTTAGCCTCTCAGACAGGTCTGGGGGTGAACACTGCCCTGGTTCCATGATGACTGGGAGGAAACGGGTACCAAGATGCCCCACCTGCCCATGCATTTGGAGTGCCTCCTCCCGCCCCTCAGTCCTGCATCCAGAATCCACTGGGCAGCCACCTACCAGTTTCAGCTCCAGCAGTCTTGCCTGTTGCTAACACTTGAGCGGCCCCAACATCTGCAAAGACAAAAATCCCAAATTCTGGTTAGAACAGAACTGCTGGCCAAGATCAGGCTGGGGGTCTCAGGCCAAAGCCCTGTTCCCAACCGTCCACTCCAGTAGGTCTGGGGAAGTCTGCCACAGGAAACCTCCTGTTCAGCCACCACACACAGGAGCACAGAGGTGGTTCCTGATTGCCACAGTGTCCGGGAGTTTTGCTGGGATGTCAGAACCTCTGCCAAAGCAGGAATGAGAGTGTCCTGAGTTCAGTTAAACCAGATCCTTTTAATCCCATTAGAAGACTGCTTTTTATTTCATTCATTTTATAAAAGATCTTTTTTTTAGGTTAACAGTTTTTTTTAGCTGTAAGTTAAACCAGCTCTTTAACATGGTTTCTAAGACCCACACTGGGAACCCTGCCTGCCTCTCTAGTCTCTTCCTCACTCCCAAGAACCCTCTCACTCAGGCCAGACTGATTGATTCCGGCTCCCTACCCGGGCCAGGACCAGCTGCCTTTGAGCCACACCCTTTGCCCAGCTCCATTTTCTCCCCTATTCCTTCTTCACCTCATCTTTTGTGTCACTTTCTCCTGACACCCCACACCTGGCTTAGATGCCCTTCTGGGTGCTTCACAGTGGCTGTACCTACGCATTGTAACTGACCACACCATTTATTTAAGAACATTACATAGCCTTGCTGTGTGCCAGGCACTGTCCTCAGAGCTTCTCAGCTATTCACCCACCAATGGGTCTCCTGGCTGGTCTTCCCCCTAGGCTGAGTGGTTCCCTGGGGAGTGCTTTATCCCCAGCATTTGACACAGTGTCTGGCCCACAGGAGGCATTAATAGACATCTGATGAATGAATGAATCATGGTAACAGAGCATGCTGCAGGGGGGTCACTCTTCTAGCCTAGACTTGAAACCTTAAGATAGGAGATGTGACTCACAAGCAGGGCCTTGGTCCCTGAAGATGGGCTCTAGAAGAGCTAGGATTGACACACGGGCCTTGGAAAGTGTACATTAACTGACCCCTTACTCTGAGGCAGATAGTGGAGACAGCATTTGCATTAATACATTCAATATTCAGAACAAGAGCTCTGTGAGACAGGCACTGTCATCGCTACCATTTGATGAGTGAGGAATCCAGCACTGAAAACTTGAGGATGCACCCAAGGGCCAAAGAGAAGTGGAAAGTGGCAGCCCTTCCACCTTAACCCAAAGCCCCATGATGCCCTGAGAACTCAAATCCCAGGCAGTTAACTAATAGAATGATGCCAAAACCATCAAGACCGAGGACTAGAGGGCTGAGATGGGGACAGGTGGGTGGTAAGACCCAAACTTGACTCTTAGGCTCAAATTTCCAGGCAAAGTCAGAAATCCCTGTTGGTCCTAAAAGGGAGCAGCTGACTTCATTGAGAGTGACCAATCTTCCCCAACTTAGCTCCAAGAGAAGTCCACCTCCTGACTCCTGACCTCATGGAGGGCCAATGGTAGCTGCTTGGTCACCAAAGTGACAAGACGTCCATGTGACCAAGCTCAGTGCTGCCTAGGGGTTGGGCAGACACTCTACAGAGGACATCTTCTCTGAGTGCACTGGTGGGGAAGGGACCATTGTAATAGACTTTAGGGGTTTTCTGATGGCCTCACCTGGTGATGGAAAAGCTGGAGGATTCTGAAGCAAAGGTACACAGCCTTGCTCTAGTCACTAGTCTTCTTGGAGATCTGGCGACTTCTGTCATTGATGGGCCCACACGGGGCCCATCCACTCACTCACATACCACAGACACCACAGAACACAATATGACCCTGGTTCTATCAGTTCTTTGAAGTCCCCGCTGAGCTTCATTGTTTCTTTACATTTATTCTTCACTTTAATTCTGCCACTCTAGCCAGGTTGAAAACCTTTCCAGGGATTGGACGAAGCCTTGTATGTCACACACGGTAGGACTAGGCTGCTAGAGTCCCTGAATGGAACTGACTTCTGGGCTAATGCTGGAAACCCTGACTGGTGTGGGCTGCATGCTCACCAGGGGGCCTTTCCAACACGTCTACCCCACGTGGCCTTTGCTGGACAGAAGACAAGGGTCAGGGAAGGCAGGCATCAGTGTGTGGGGCCGTGTCCTCTAAGGGCCAGCCTTTCCCCCTGCCCCCTCAGACACAGACATTTCTCCTGGGTCCTCCCTCAGGAGTCTGCTCCTGGTGACCACGGCTCTGCATGACCATCACACAGCAAAAAATCTTTATATGAGCCTGAAATGAAACTTGAACAGGGAAAGAAGAAAGGACATAGATCAGAAAGAGTGGAAAGGTGGAAAGAATCAGAGAGACACAAGGACACATGGAGACAGAGGGACACCCACAAATACTCTGCCAGAGAAGCTCAGACTGCTGATGAGCAGGCAGAGAAGGAAAGAGAGAAAGAACGTCTAGTGTCCAAAAAAAGCCTGGCCCTGGCCTCCCCAGCAGCACCAGGCCCCCAGTCCTCCTCAGGTTGCCCTGTGTCCTTTATCAGTCTGCCCAGCAAATGCATCCTCCTGAATGCTCCACTCTTTCTGCCCCTCAGGGGTCCCTGGCTCGGCTCAGCTCCCACTCTCACCCCCACAGTCTCAGGCTCCTTAGACCCCCTCCCTCCATACTCTCTCCTGGGTCCACCCCAAGAGAGGAGGCTGCTCCTAGTCCGTGACCCCAAACAGGCTCCCTGGGCCTCAGGGACGGAGTGAAATCCAAGGTCAGAGACTGAGTGAGTGCCCTCCCTGGGGCTGCAGCTCAGATAGCTGCCGGTACCAAACCCCAAGAGTGGGCCACGCTGTGCACTCCATCAGCCATCTCCCATCTCAGTAATTCCTGCTAGCCATCCAGACGGCCACTTGGCGGCAGCCTTTTCCCTCCTCGGGGAGGGAAATCCTCCAAGCTGCCCTCCTGTGCTCAGCATCTCGGCCTTGCATTCTAAACGCCCTTGGTGAGGACCTGTCAGAGCCATACTTATATCAGCAACCCCCTCACCCGCCTCCTGCCAAGATCATCACCTCCTGCACTGTAGACCCCTGCAAGCCCCCAGGGATGATTTCCCCTGGCTCTGCAAGGTAGCTGGAGGATGGATTACTGGTCTATGAGCACAGCCAGAGGCCTTCTGACTGCTCCTGCTTCAGGTCTGTCAGAGACACAAGAGGAAGCCACACCACATTTTCTTTACTGAAATTCTCTGGGTTCTCTCATGCAAACATGAATTGGCAGCTTAGTATCCAGAAAACAGTCTCTCAAAACCAGGGGATAGTTCAAGGGGGTTGAGCAGGGGCTGACTGAACCAAGGCTGGTGTCCCAGGGGGCACACAGGGACCCTCTCTCTGACTGGTAGGTTCACATGGCTGTAGTAGGCACATGCATGCATACGTGCTAAGTCACTTCAGTCATATCTAACTCCTTGCAACCCTATGGACTGTAGCCTGCCAGGCTCCTCTGTCCTTGAGATTCTCCAGGCCAGAATACCGGAGTGGGTTGCCACGCCCTTCTCCAGGGGATCTTCCTGACCAAGGATTGAACCCCATCTCTTATGTCTCTTGCATTGGCAGGCACAGTGCTGCCCAAATCTGGCTTGACAGTCAACACTGCACTAGGACTGTCTACACAGCCAGGTGCCGAGTACAGGAGCCAAGGTCCTGGGGCGCAGCTTTTGCTGGTGTGCAGAGTCAGACGTGACTTAGCGACTAAACAGCAGCATCAGCAGAGCAGAGAGTAGGGGCGCTGCCTCTAGATGGGCCTATGAGGCTCCAGGGCCTCTACCTACACTGTCCCCATGCACGCTCAGGTCCAGCCCTGCACCTCGGCACTCTCACCGAACCACTCACCACTCACCTGAGGCTACGCCTGCCCAGAAGATGGTGCCTTTTTCTAAGATGTACGAAGACACCATTGCAGCTCTGAGTCTAGAGTGGCTCTTCCTCCCAGGCCCCCTTTGGACAGGCAGCTGACAGAGACCTGATACCCCAGCCCTCCCTGCAAAGCAGCCAGTGTCCCGCCCCTTCTCTGCAGCCCTTCCCCCTACAGAGCACAATCTGCTCTCTGCAAGTGGTTTCCCAACAGGAAGGAATCTCCTGCAAGAGTAAATAGTCCTGAGGCCTGGAGGCTCCCTGGCTCCCCCTCCTCCAGGACCGGGAGGTTAGCTCAGAGGAAGAAAGGCAAGGCTGCTCCGGGGAGTAAGTGGAAGGTGGCCTGCTCCATCTCAGCTGGAATCTGACCCCTGAGAGCCCATCCCCATCATCCAGACCTCCCGAGCTGCCCACACCTGTTGGGTCCACCCTTCCCGGGAGCTGGCCCTCTTCACCACCCTTATTTGGGCAGAATCAGGCTGTGTGTTTCCAGTTGTGGGGCAGTGGGTGTGCGTGCACGCAGATGTCGTTCTATAAGTATCTGGACTAAAAATAGGGAGAGGCTGCCCTAAGTGTTTGTCAATTGATGCCTGGCCATTTTCATCTTGAAACTTAAATATTACAGAATGGCTCCTAACTTTAGATCACATAAATTCCAATGTTCTCAGCTCAAGGAAGGGGTCTCATAACTAGAAAAGACATCTATCCTCTCCTAACAGAGTACACACATAGGGATGAAGTACCTTTGGTGTACTCCTCATGGCCCTGGTGACCAGGGGGATCCAAGTGCTCTTGGACAAAAGACCCTGGCCCCCCATGAAGGAACTCGAACAGTGATGGAGAGACAAGACTGACACCGAAGAAAAGATGAGAGTGCTGCCGGAGATGTTCAGCATCTTCCTGCAAACCTGCGTCCCCAGGAGCTGGAGGAAGTCTGAACAGGAGTGTGTGGGGTGAACACTTGCCATGTGGCCCCCCACATTTCCTGGCTCTTTGGCTGCAGGCAGCACCTTGGCTTTCTTTTGGGGAAACACCTGCCTATGATTCCCTTGAGGCTGGTCCCAGGATGGACATGTGAACCATCCTGATTAGTCAGATACGACATCTTCCAGTCAGCAGTGACTGGTCAAGAGGTGAGCCAACTCAGGTCAGT